AGGATCAAAAAAATTATAGGTGGGGAATAAAAATTAAAAAACCTGTGCTTCTCCCTTTACAGCTGAAATTGCTAGTTGCAACCTTGTAAATATAAGGAGGACTTATAGCCAGGAAATGTTTTACAAAGGCAGCACTTTGCATGCACCACTGGAAGTACGTGATGGCAGGTGCCAGCAAGTACAGGTACCCACTCCAGTCCCTGTCCTGGGGAGCGTGCATTCATTATGTGGCTAAACTAACCTCCAGATGGTTTAAAGCTTATTTTTGTTTGATGAATAGTTTTAAAATTTTCTTGTTCATAATAATTAATTCCTGAAAAACATAGCTTTAGGTTTAAACTGTATACATGTACATACAGAAGCCAAAATGGTTTATTGTTAGGCTCCTATTTATACAAATGGTTCTGCACCTCTGGTCCATGTACCCCTTCAAAGAATCATATTAGAGCCATTCAAAGCTGCGGGTAATGAGGATGCCTGCCACGTGGAATTGCATAGGGGACAGGACATGCAGCCAGCTCGCTTAGAAGTGAGGCTTCCTTCTGACACTGGTAGGGGAAATTAATGCGTCTCAAACTTGAATATCCTTCATTTTCACTGAATTTTTTCTCTACCATTTTTTGTTACCATTTATTGCAGTTCTGGGGAAGCAGGAAAAATGACAAAAATACAGTGCCTGTGTTTATCAGCTGAATGCAGGAAGTCTTTTCCTAGGCTTTCATTTAAAATACAGAAGCCACCAGGCAAATTCTGTTCATAAAAATGTTGCAACTCCTTTATTCACATTAGCAGAGAGAGCCCAGATGGGAGCCCAGGGAATTTCCATTTACACGCAGCAGCATCACTGGAGTCAGCAGATTTAAATTAATCTTTGATAAAATTACAGGTCAGATCGGTAGCATTGCTAGTGATTTCATAACCAAACATGTACTTAAATCTGTTGTAAAACCTCTGTCCTATGATTTAGCTGTTGAGCTAAGAAAAATTTAAGGATCCCAAAGCATGTAAAAGGTTGTGTTGGCCAACAGAAACGAAGTGCTGATCAAAAGTAAATAGGATCAGCGCAGAATCTGGGTCATTCCCAGGTCTATGCAGGCAGTAAGAAAACTTGAGAGTCTAGAGAGCGGCCTTGCTAACACCGTGGGTTTTCTCTACTGAAGAGATCAGGCAATACTTTGTCAAACCCGTTGCACGGGGCAGTGAACGTTTGCTTGTGCGGGAGCTGAGGTCAGGCTCCCCCTGCTCTCTGTTCCTCTTTTCTGGCACAAGGGAACGGGAAGGGAATTTGGTGCTGTCTCACTTGCATGTGAACAGCATTGCCAAAGGAATGGGGCAATAGTGTTGCAGAAGACGCTCTGCCTAACCAAACTGATGCATCAAGCACCAGATGCTGACCTTTGCCAAGGTCAAGGATCAAGGAAAGCCTGTGAATAAGACCTGTTTCTAAAGCATACAGTCATCTCTCTGCATTTCTGGCCTAAGTATTTTGCTTTTCTAACTAAGGTGGCCAACAGGTAAGTGCTGGTTTGTCACCTCTAGTCAGGTGCCTGAATTTCCCTGAAGAGGGAAAGGGATCATTCAGAGTTAATTTAAACTTCTTTGGTGGATCTAGAAAGGGTAAGCAAGAACTGTGCTTTACAGGCTTCTAGACCAAAGCAGCTAGGGCTCACACGTGCACAAAGGACACATTTAGGCTGGACAGGCTCACTCAGGGAGACTGAGTAAAAGATGGCAGCTGGAACAAACTGTGCAGATCTATAGCAGGCTCAGTCCTTTCCCTGAAGAAGCCAGAGCAGGCCTTTGGGTCACGTTTTGTGCATGAATATAGGGAAGAGGAAATTTTCTGAGACACTGCATTTGCTGGACATGCCCGCGGGAGCTTTGTCTCTTGCTGCCAAGTCTCCATAAGCTGACCAACACTGAAAAGCAGTAGAGACACAGCCTGGGCTGGTCAGTGGGAACCTAGCCAGGTCACAGAATCACAGGATTGTAGGGGTTGGAAGGGACCTCTAGAGATCATCTAGTCCAACCGCCCTGACAGAGGAGGGTCACCTAGAGCAGGTTGCACAGGAACGCATCCAGGCAGGTTTTGAATATCTCCAGAGAAGGAGACTCTACATCCTCTCTGGGCAGCCTGTTCCAGTGCTCTGCCACCCTCAAAGTAAAGAAGTTTTTCCTCATGTTGAGATGGATTTTTCTGCGTTCCAGTTTGTGCCCATTGCCCCTTGTCCTGTCACTGGGCTCCACTGAAAAGAGTCTGACCCCATCTTGACACCTGCCCTCTGGATATTTATAAGCGTTGATGTGATCCCTTCTCAGTCTTCTCTTCTCCAGGCTAAACAGACCCAGGTGTCTCAGCCTTTCCGCGTAGGAGAGATGCTCCAGTCCCTTGATCATCTTCGTAGTCCTCTGCTGGATTGTCTCCAGTAATTCTTTGTCTTTCTTAAAAAGTCAGAGCTCACTGAGAGCAGGGAATGGGGACTTTGAGGTCTCCATCCTTCCCTAAGTGTTAATTCTTAAGCTGGAGTCTCACCTGACTGTTTGTCTCCCACCAAGCTCTGGTCCCTGTGCAGCCTGTCTCTTAGTTATCTCCCCAGTTCCCTAAGCCTCAGCCTCTCAATCCTGAAGCCCTTCTCTCTATCCAATGGTGCTATAATCACTCCACCTGGGAGTTTCTGGTGCAGCAGCAGTCCTCAAAGAGAAAAGTAAGAAAGGATTACACAGCCAGGCACGCTTTTATCACAGAAATGCCAGGAGTAAATAACTCCATTCCTGCAACTAAATGTCTTGGTAAAGTTTAGGTATAGCCTGTGCAGTGACGTGACCTGCTTACCTTTGGGTTGGTCTGTTAATCTGCCTTTATTCACCAGTGCTAATTCCCAGATGAACCATGGCTTTAGAACAAGAGGTAACAGGCACAAACTTGAATATAGGAAGTTCCATCTTAACATGAGGAGGAACTACTTTACTTTGAGGGTGGCAGAGCACTGGCACAGGCTGCGCAGAGAGGTGGTGGAGTCTCCCTCTCTGGAGACCTTCAAAACCCGCCTGGACACCATCCTGTGCAATGTGCTGTAGGTGACCCTGCTCTGGCAGGGGGGTTGGACTAGATGATCTCCAGAGGTCCCTTCCAACCCTGACCATTCTGTGATTCTGTGATTCTGTGACTGACGGATGTTCTGACAGCCAGATGAGCTGCCTGCACAGTCAGTGGCCCAGAGGCTGGGAGAAAGCAAGTGCTTGGGGACACAGGTGGCTCAGTACCCCTGTGTGAGCTGAGGGGCGAAGAGGGGAAATTTTTTATTGGTTGTTTTTTTTAATCTGAATATTAGGACTATCATGCATATGCCTTCCTTGATTTTGTAAGGAGAAACTGTGCCTAGGAACCATCGAGGCCTGTTTACTGCAGGTTAAGACATACTGATTAAAGACCTTTGAAGCGTTTCATGTTTAAACATGAACAGACACAAAGTCACGTTTGCTTATTAGTCATTAACTTGTACACATCGCTGTAACCCAAAATTTTAAGCGGCCTGGCTGAAACATCCTTTCCTGCTGCACAGCTCAGTTCTCGCGCTTTTCCGATAAGCATAGCCGTTAATTAATCAGGCTGTTGGCCATCGCTGGCTGCGATGAGACGGGGCAGACTGACAGAAGGCCTCAGAAGGGCTGGTGCCGGCCACCCCAGCACCCAGGCACCCTGCTCCTTACTGCGGGCCGTGCGTGGATCTGGGCTCCCAGAGGGTACCAGCAGGGCAAGTTACCGCTTGAGAGCTTTATTTGATGCAATAACGAATTGTGGTGTTGACATACAGAAGCCATCCTCTTCTACGCCTGACAACACAGCGGGGACTGTGGTTGCCGGTTAGAAAAGGGCGGTATTGTCGTTTTCCTAACCTTTGCTTTCCCCCGTCATTGTTTTTGCAGTTAATAAAGGTCAAAAGGCCGTTATGTGTGCGGTACGGTAACAGACCCCTGACAGGCCCCCGCACCGCCCACCGGCCCGACCGCCGCC